CTATTAAAAAAAGCTTCAAAATTTGTGGTCAAGCTTTTAGTGTTTTTAAAGTTGAAACACTAGATATGCGAGATTATTTTGCCAGCGGTAAAAATGAAAAAATCCATCCAAGGGCATGCATGCATAATGGTGTGCGCGTACTGTCCAATTAAACGTAATTACTTAGTATTACACTGTCCTATTAAAAGTTGAAATTATTACAGCCGAGAGCATCAGTTTTGAGAATTTTACAGTTACCGTTAAATTCCAAATTGAACTCAAAGTACGTTCTCCTTTCCAATTATGAGTAATTGATGTAAGAGTGGTTAGTTGCACCACCACTGCCTTTAACTGCCGAGTACCTTGTTCAAAAGGGGCCGTGACAGTTGCATTTTCCGGAAAAACAATTAACTACCAATTCTTTGTTATCAACTGGAGTTGGCGCCTGTTTCTTTGCAGCAGGTCTTATGTTACGTTTAGTTTTTTGTTTCCTACGAAGAGGGTGCTAGACAAAGGCCTCACCCATGCACCAGTCGAAGAGAAAGTAATATACTTCAACGCATATGGTCTGGAGACATTCACTACAGTAACAGAACCAACTCTTTCCGTGGGGTCGCTATTCTTTATACTCCAAGATTTCATTACATGCTTCTCAATTCTCTTGAACCCAATTTATCACCAACCTCCTACAACATTCTTGGCGGCGACTTCAACTGCATTCTACATCCTGGTGCAACAAACCCGCATACACGTGAATTCACTTGGACTGGAAGAGACACAAGAACGATGAATTCTTTTATTTGTACATGCATCAATCGCTTCTACACCTCGCAAACCTCTCCTTATACACTAGACAGCACTATCCTCACATATCCTCACTCCGATCATGACTTAATCTCTCTATCTCTTGACCTCAACCATCAACTACCTTATGTAAACTAGAACACAGGGAATGCAAACGACTAGAACGTGACCTAACACATCTGAAACAAAGAGCAACAACAGGAAATTCCTTGGACAAAGAGAATTATCTCCTTGCCAAACAAAAGCTCACTGTCCTTGAGCAGCGTGACCTTGAGGCAGTTAAAATCAGAACGAAAGCCCGTTTCACAGAAGAGGGAGAAAAAAGTACTGGATATGTTTATTCGCTCGAAAAGAAAAAGCAGGCAGATAAAAGCATACACTCACCGCAAAAGAGAATCTCGACACTATCACTTCAACTCGTGACATTTCAATTGAAACACTTGCCCTCTATAAACAACTATACACAGCAGATGCAATTAACCCTGACACCCAGCGAATTTTCTTTGACCTTCCTATCCCTCAACTCTCAGCAATCGTGTGAAGATCCTTTTTCAGCCCCTGAACTTGAAAGCACTCTGAAAAAGATGGAAAATAATAAATCACTGGGCAGTGACGGCCCAACATCAAACTTTAATAAACACTTCTGGCCTATTCTCGGCCCAGAAATCACGCAAGTTTTCAACCATTGTAAACACAGTCTGTTAACCAGTACGCAATGTTGAGGAATAATTACTTTAATTTTTAAGAAAGGAGATCGTACTTAACTTCAAAATTGGTGACCGATTTACTCTCCTTACCACTGATTACAAGATTCTTACAGAAGCACTCGCTACTCACCCCACAACTGTATTGCCAACAATAATTAACTTGGACCAAACCGCCTGCATCCCTGGCAGAACAATATTAATGACAACCTCAGCTTAATCTGCAATGTAATCTCCTATGCAAATGAAACACAGACGCTGCTGGTCCTAATTTCCATTGACCAAATGACACCCTTTAACCGTACATCACACTCTTTCCTCTTCTCAACCCTCGAACACTTCGGTTTTGGACCAAACTTTATCTGCTGGATAAAGCTTATCTATAACTCTGTCTCAAGTTCTGTTTAAGTTAATGGATGGTTAACATCCTTTATCAATCTTGAGAGGCCTACACCAAGGCTGTGCGTTATCTATGCCGCTATACGTTCTCACGGCTGAAATTCTTTCTCTCCGCATCACACCCCCCGGCTCACGCATTCAAGTCAAACTGTTATAATACACTGACAACACTACATTCACCTTGCGTGACGACGTCTCCATACAGGAAACCTTTCACACCCTATCGCTCTACAAAACGGCCTCTGGCACCAAAATCAACCTCAGAAAATGTAAAGGACGCTGGTCTGGATCGCTTAAATACCGTACTGATCAACTTCTTAATTTCGACTGGTACAACACCTATATTCCTGAAAAAATCCTGGGGACATTTTTTGGCAGTGTCGACTGTACCCATCTGAACATTGACTGGCAACTCCAATCCCTCAGAAATACTATCACTGCATGGAAACACCACAAACTTAGCTTTAAAGGCAAAGCAAGAAGGGCTTAACTGCAGAATACCCTGCCACTCTAAAACACATCTAGAATCCATGGCTACGCGGCTACGGAGCTACACCGCTAGGATGCTAAGTGGCTAAGTGGCTACGTGGCTACGGAGCTACACAGCTACGCAGCTTAGTGGCCCAGCGACGGCTTGGCGACTACATGAATATATCTCGTTCTTTAATCCATGACCCGAGACAAGTGCGCTACACATGAATATATCTCGTTCTTTAATCCATGACCAGAAACAAGCGCGCTAAGTGAAGCGCGCTACACATGAATAATGAATATATCTCGTTCTTTAATCCATGACCCGAAACAAGTGCGCTACACATGAATATATCTCGTTCTTTAATCCATGACCCGAAAAAACCGCGCTAAACATGAATATATCTCGTTTTTTAATCCATGACCCGAAACAAGCGCGCTAAACACGAATATATCTCGTTCTTTAAACCATGACCTGAAACAAGTGCCCTGGTTTCAGCTCATGGCTGCAAGATTCAACTTATCACAAACAATGCCCTCGATCAAAAGATCACATTATTTGGCCGCCTAAGCAACCAATAACTACATGATATTTTCAATTCAATCAAAAAACTTTACTGAACATGATACATTTTCTTACGGTATATCCAAAACTCCTTTATTTAAATTTCAAACTCTTTCTGCAGGTAAACAGTTCTTGCAACACAGGGCATCATACAGCAAACCTGTGTCATATAATGTACAATACTTTCAATTAACACAACTCAAAGTTAAACGTGTTCATATTTGCTCTTACACTGCTTGAACCGATTCGATAAGATTCTGACATATTTTCAGTAAGTACATTCTTCTGATTATTCAAATTTGTAAATTTTCTTAATGTCATTTAAAAACACCTTCCACAAATCTTCTCCACTGTGGACATATCGCCATTTGAACTCAACTAGGTATGATGAGTAGTGTTCTTTTTTACGACCGTGCGTCGGAAGCGTTGCTTTCATTTGCCGCCAATACCCTTCTATCTTGTTTGTATGGAAACCCTCCTCGTTAACGAACTCCACGGAGTGGTTTACTGTCTTATGGATGTACCCATGTTTTGAAAGATTTACGTACCCCTTCCAGCAATCAGACACAATTGTTGTTCCTGGTTCAATCCATTCTTTGATTAGATTTAGCAAAGTTTCCTCTGTCCTGTCTTCTACAGTCGCAATAAAACATTTTCGTGAATCTTCCTCGATGCCGCCAAAAACCCACTCACCCTCCACTACATGTCCATGATGGTACTTTCTCTTCCAATTTTGCTTTCATCAATCTGAACCAGTTTCCCTGGAGCGCCAATTTTCTCCCTTCCATCGAATAATGCCACCTCACATACTTCACGACAAAACATGTCCCAGTCAACCGCTGTGTGCGAGCCAAGTCCAAGCTGTTGTTTAATTTGCCACTGGTTTAAGTCCTGGCACCACCAGTACGTAAATTTCAACACCTCTTCAATTGTCATGTTCGAATTTTCAAACCAACTTCCTTCTCTGATGCTCCTCTCACATCTATGCCGCTTACCATTAATCTGCCTTCTACATTCCCAGATGTAGCCATCGGATCGGTCTCCCCACCGAACCCAATTCATTTCCGATCCACACATAGTGCAATTTCTACTGGACGCAATCAGCCCTTCTTCTCTTAGCCATGACAGCGTGAACTCTCTGTCCCACAGGTAATCTCTTAGCAAATTTTCATAGGATGTGAAGTTCTCTTGCTTCTCATTTCTTTGATAGCTTGCTTGAGTGCTGCCGCACTGAGTGCTTTGATCTTTTAAATCAGCTTTCGAACACCCAGTTTGTACTCCACATGTCTTACGACATACAACAGTATACATTTTCCAGCACAGCATAAACGACTGCAGAGCAAACAACTAATTATCGTAACATTGACCAGCATGTATTAGCCCACACTGAGCGCCATTGAAATAACTCAAACAAAGAAACTATATAAACGCTAATTTCTTTAATTTTCCCACCTCCTTTGAAGTGTTCACAGTCTTTGTTCCTGGCGCATATTACACCAAACTACAAACAATACCTTCAGATCTCTCTAAGTTTTACACAACGCGGCTTCCGCAATTCAACAATTAACATCTTACATTATTATAAAAAAAAATATTTCCACAGAACAGCATAACCATATATTTTGCTTTAAGAACGCATTTGTTGGTTTTTTTTTTAATCACAAGTCGGAGGCAGGCGGCACATTAATGAAATTTATCAAAACAACTACAAACTAATCAAACAGTAGTAACTGCAACTAAAGCGTTCACCGATGACTTCACACCCTTTGTTTAATCTCCTTACAATAACTTAATAGTCCCTTTGGGGATTCCTTTAGCTGCAAAATCGCTAAACTCAATGTAGAGCGCATCATTTGAGACAAACGCATCGTTCCAGAATGTCTACCCCGCGCCTTACGAAGCTTTGAAAACAACCAAACAGTACTTGGGCCCAACTTCAAAAACGCCTAATCGCACTTCCTGATCCATTTGAAATGCTTTTCCCTGCCGACGTCTGGAGCTTTATTCTCAACAAGTCACACTCTATTAGCACAAATCCTGGCTATGTTTCTTCCACTCTGATTACTACCACTGCGTTCATGGCTGGAACTGCAACTACACTGAAAACTGCAACACAAGAAATGCCACTCAACATCTATTCAATCTTCGTTGGCCCTCCAACAACTGGAAAATCACAAGCAATCAAGGAATGCGCTATATCACCCATGGCCAGTGTAACGGCAGAAGCAGATTCTGCAAGCCCTGTAATCCAGAAATATACCTCGTCGAGACTGATAAAAACAGTCGCAGACAACAACAGAGGGTTCCTTTTGTCAGCCGAGATTTACGACGTCCTGTTCAAATTGCTAAAGTCTGACGAAGAAAATGCCACTGGCGATGTACAAGCGCTATGTCAACTGTTCTCTGGAGAAGAGGCCTCCTACCGCTATGCCACTGAAAAAACGCGGGAAATAGCAGCAAACACGCCATCTTAGGGGCAACACAGATTCCATTTGCTGCCCATCTAGTCGCCCTATTAGATCAAGGACACGGTCTTTTAGACCGATTTTTAATTACATTCCCAAAGTGCTCGCGACCAACGCCAACGCAAACAAGCCAGGCAATCGAAGCGTTAAAAGAGAGCGGCCTTTCCAGCGTCGAAGACATATTCGTGGAGATTGCTCGCCTGCATCTTTCACGTTCCACTTACACTCTAGACCAAGAGGCCACAGAAACTGTGAACACTATAAACGAACAATTTATAGCTGAGGTAAATGAAGCCATCTTGGAAGGCACAAGTCCGCCAAAGACGAAAAAGATCGACATCATCCTCTGTGTTGCAGCAGCGCTCCATATCTTTAACCACGTCACTGCGGAGCTGCTTCAAGGCAGGCAGCCCACACAGCCAGCAGACGAAATCGAAAAGTCTACACATCTCTGCGCCATCGAATGAATACGTAAATTGGGCTGAATCGCAGAAAGAAATTTTTGTCGAGGTAAGCGATATGAACTCTTTCTACCTTAAAATCCCACGATTACTTTCCAAGCTATATACCTCAGATAACCCTTTTTATCTAGTTCAGGGGGTAGAGGAAGGGAAAGGAGTTTCTTAACAAATTATCAACATAGAACAGGGTAGGAATGAATGACTGGAGAAACGAAATAAGTCTCATTTTCTCAATGGCGATATGGCTGACGACAATAGGTCTTCCGATTAACATAATACAAAACAATAAATATTTCACATTCCCTAAAAGACATTTCACAAGGAATATTTCGAAAGCAAAACGAATCAGTCAGAAACTATTACATATTCATGTGTAGCACGCTTGTTTTGCGTCATGAATAAAGAACGAGATATATTCGTGTTCAGCGCACTTGTTTCACGTACAATCGATTCAGTGAAGTGTAATGACAAGTGAATCGATTCTTTAAGTTTTAATTACATATTCCTAAACATATTTTTTTCCAGTTCCTGAATGACCTCATGTCGCCCACGATGGATGAAACAAAAGGTCAGCCAACCTTGATGTCCATTCAAACCGTGTGTCTTCATTTTGGTGGTCCACTTCTCACCTGCCGGGCCTTCAAACAGTGCGGCCCATGTCCTCTGCGAGGAATCGCAAATTCTGAGTTCACGGAAGCAGTCAACGCCCTTGAGCAAACAGGCCTAGGAAAGGTTCGTTCCTTCCAAGTACGATTTGCACCACATCCAGTTCAAGTGTTCATCAAGCAAAAACCTGAGAATGTCAACTGGCCCTCAGATTTATGCAGCCAAAACGACCGTAGATCCAAGTACAATCAAAATGCCAACAAATGTATCTCTCTACCGCTATCAAGCAGGCATTGATCAATGTGAACTTCATTCCACAAGAAATGTTCCCAGATGTTTAGATATGTAACACTTGCAATGAACAGTACAGGAACACAATATTCGTGTAAAGAACATTTGATGCGTATTAGCATATAGTTATTTCACAGTTTCAAGATTTCCATTTCATAACTAATACAATTTTCATGTAAATTTTTGTAATTCAAAGTGAACTTACTCATTTTCATTGCGATAAATAATGTAAATAAAGATTAGCAGTATCAAAAACTATGAAATTGTCTGGTCGCCTTACAAATACCACATTGGCCTCGTACTCTCTTAGCCCCGTGGCAACTTTTTATCCTCCTAGCCGGGTACACAATTACCCTTTTAAGTCCGTTGCCAAGTAGCTCCATAGCCAAGTAGCTCCGTACCTATGTAGCTCTGTAGCTCCGTCGCCACGTAGCCACGTAGCCATGTACCGACTTAGCATCCTCACCCTGTGTAACTCGTCAGCTTTGTGGCCAAGTAGCCACTATTCTCACAGGTGCAACTTTCCAGTGGCAGGGTATTCTGCAGTTACTCCAGCTCTTGTAATTATTGGCCTCCTGACCTGCACTCTCTGGTACACTGTAACATCAGTCAACCTCCCTCCCTGGGCTATAACTGCCCTCGAAGCCGAAATACGTAATTTCTTCTGTGAGTTTGGCAAAGGCCTCACCTATGCACCAGTCGAAGGGAAAGTAATATACTTCAACGCGAATGGTCTGGAGACATTTACTACAGTAACGGAACCGACTCTTCTCGGGGGGTCGCTATTCTTTTTACTCCAAGATTTCATTAAATGCTTCTCAATTCTCTTGAACCCAATTTATCACCAACCTACTATAATATTCTTGGCGGTGACTTCAACTGCATTGTACATCCTGTCCTCGATAAACAAGGTGGCGACCCCACACCAAGACAATCGGTACTTGAATTAATCAATAGCGTCACGGCTCAATTTAATTTAATTGACATCTGGCGCAACAGAAACCCGCATACACGTCAATTCACTTGGACCGGAAGAGACACAAGAACGATGAATTCTTTTATTTGTACACGCATCGATCACTTCTACACCTCGCAAACCTCTCCTTATACACTAGACAGCACTATCCTCACATATCCTCACTCTGATCATGACTTAACCTCTGTATCTCTTGACCTCAACCATCAACTACCTTGTGTAAACTAGAACACAGGGAATGCAAACGACTAGAACGTGACCTAACACACCTGAAACAAAGAGCAACAACAGGAAATTCCTTGGACAAAGAGAATTATCTCCTTGCCAAACAAAAGCTCACTGTCCTTGAGCAGCGTGACCTTGAGGCAGTTAAAATCAGAACGAAAGCCCGTTTCACAGAAGAGGGAGAAAAAAGTACTAGATATGTTTATTCACTCCAAAAGAAAAAGCAGGCAGATAAAAGCATACAGACACTCACAAAAGAGAATCTCGACACTATCACTTCAACTCATGACATTTTAATTGAAACACTTGCCCTCTATAAACAACTCTACACAGCAGATGCAATTAACCCTGACACCCAGCGAATTTTCTTCGACCTTCCTATCCCTCAACTCTCAGCAATCGTGTGAAGATCCTTTTTCAGCCCCTGAACTTGAAAGCACTCTGAAAAAGATGGATAATAATAAATCACCGGGCATTGACGGCCCAACATCAAACTTTTATAAACACTTCTGGCCTATTCTCGGCCCAGAAATCACGCAAGTTTTCAACCACTGTAAACACAGTCTGTTAACCCGTACGCAATGTTGGGGAATAATTACTTTAATTTTTAAAAAAGGAGATTGCACTAAATTTCAAAATTGGTGACCGATTACTCTCCTTACCACTGATTACAAGATTCTTACCGAAGCACTCGCTACTCACCCCACAACTGTATTGCCGACAATAATCAACTTGGACCAAGCCGCCTGCATCCCTGGCAGAACAATATTAATGACAACCTCAGCTTAATCTGCAATGCAATCTCCTGTGCAAATAAAACACACACGCTGCTGGCCCTAGTTTCCATTGACCAAATGAAACCCTTCAACCGTACATCATACTCTTTCCTCCTCTCGACCCTCGAACATTTCGGTTTTGGACCAAACTTTATCCGCTGGATAAAGCTTATCTATAACTCTGTCTCAAGTTCTGTTTAAGTTAATGGATGGTTCACATCCTTTTTTAATCTCGAGAGGCCTACGCCCAGGCTGTGCTTTATCTATGCCAGTATACGTTCTCACGGCTGGAATTCTTGCTCTCCGAATAGCCTGTAACCCCTGAATACAAGGCATCACACCCCCCGGCTCAGGCGTTGAAGTCAAATTGTCTAATACGCTGACAACACTACATTCACCTTGCGTGACGACGTCTCCATACAGGAGACCTTTCACACCCTATCGCTCTACGAAGCGGCCTCCGGCACCAAAATCAACCTTGGAAAATGTAAAGGACGCTGGTCTGGATCGCTTAAATACCATACTGATCAACTCCTTAATTTCGACTGGTACAACACCTATATTCCTAAAAAAATCCTCACGACATTTTTTGGCAATGTTGACTGTACCCATCTTAACATTGACTGGCAACTCCAATCCCTCAGAAATACTATCACCTCATGGAAACACCACAAACTTAGCTTTAAAGGCAAAGCTCTTGTGATCAATGGCCTCCTGACCTTCACTCTCTGGTACACTGTAACATCAGTCAACCTCCCCCCCTGGGCTATAACTGACCTCCAAGCTGAAATATGTAATTTCTTCTGGGATTAAAAAAAGCCATCAACAACCTGTAATATCCTCGGACTCCTGCTCTCAGAAGGGGGTTTTAATGTACATAGAATTCAAACTAAAATGTACGCCCCTTGGCTTGACACGCTCCGCCGATTTATCTCCGCTGAGCCAGCTCACTGGAAACACTTTTTGCACATTTTCCCCGCCTCACATACCTGAATCTTGGGTTACACACTCTCACCCTAGACTATAAAACACAGGACACTGACCCTCTATACCACCCTACCACCGCAAGCTTCTCATTGCATGGAACAAATACCCCCCCCCCCTCCGTAACCGCCACTCGTACCCAGTCTCCTTCTCCGCCCTCCTACAGGAATCGCTCTTCTGCAACCCACTTTAATATAACGCTAGATAATACACCTCTCCGCTTCCCTCACAGAATATCAGCTGGCCTAACCCGTGTCCAAGACATCTGTTACCTCGCCATCCCTGGTTTCCGACCACCTCTGGCTATTCACAAGCACTTGTACATCAATTTTGATACCGAACCACACCCCCTGAGCCACACCACATGTGAACTTCAACAGATCCTACAGGCTCTATTTTATTCGTGGAAAAGCCTTATCCTTCGTTACACTGCCCCCGTCAATACAACATCCGCCTCCTCCTTCATGCTGAACATGCGACATTCCATGCCACAGTCACCTCATCTGAGGACAATGGCATATGCATTATCTGTCTTGCTTTTACAAATGACGTCAAAGTGCCACTTTTCCAGCATTGCGTTTCACAGCAAATGGCCAGATAAATAGACATTGGAAAAATCGTTTGTGCCTCCTTCAATCTGCTTTTTTCTTGGTTTGACAACTAAAATTAAATTTGACCGCGGCAGGATTAGCTCAGTCGGTAGAGCGCTTGACTGCAGAGCAGGAGGTCGCGGGTTTGATTCCCGGGGCTGGACCAATACTTAGGGTCTTAAAATAACTGAGAAATGAAGGTACTTCCTTTACCCTGCGGGCAGCTGGACCTTCGCGTGGCTCGGATGACCACGTAAAATGGCGGTCCCATCTCCATTAGGAGACGTTAAAATGAGGGCCACAAGTTTATTAGCCTTTGGCTATTAAGTGCTACCCTCTTTAAATAAAGGCAATTTTTTTTTTTTTAATATTCCCCATTGGGATATAACATTGGGATATAATGCATTTAATTTTTTTTGGATTCCGTTAATCCTGCTTCTACTGTATAATTTGTAAATACCGTATTTACTCGACTATAAGCCGACCTTGGCTATAAGCCAAGACCCTAAACTCATGAGACATGATAGTCGGCGAAGCAAATTTCCCTTTCGTAAACGGTCGTTGCCATTTGAAACGGTCGATGCCATTTCTCAGAACGGTCGTTGCCATTTGAAATGGTCGATGCCATTTCTCAGAACGGTCGTTGCCATTTGAAACGGTCGATGCCATTTCGAAAACTAGCCGAGCAGACGACAGCCCTCGTGAATAGCTCGTACACGGTTGGCACCCTCGGACGTCACTTCCGGGCAGTGTTGTTTACAAGATGGCGGAGCAATCCACGTGCGCGAGAGTTGAGCCAGCTGAACCAGAACCAACCCATTCTTCTTGTGCAGAAACAAAACAAAAATCAATTAAGAAGCCAACGGGGTGGAACTCCTTTATGCAGTCAGTTGCGGTGAGTTTGTTTTGTATTTCCCGAAATATTCAATCATTTTCAGCCTGGATAAAGTGCTTGTTCATCCTTTACATCCGATTACAAGTGATTAAGATTAAGTCATCAGAAATATCAGTGAAAAATAAACCGCATGTAAAATTTTCGTTTATGTCATTAACAAATATGTTATCTATAAGTGTTGCACTTATATTCATTATTCTTGTAGGCCTTGAAATTACATTCGATATAAGCTGATATAGTTTCCTCGTTCTTTGTATCATTCCACAGCCAGATGTCAAGGAACAACTTGGAAAGGGGGCAGGAATCGGGCAGGTTTCCAAAGTGGTTGGCAATATGTGGAAGAAATTGCCGACAGACAGAAAGGTTAGTTATAAACTTCTAACATTGCGAGTGTTTGTGTATTAACCCTGCCCCATTTCAGTGGACTGCTTTGTGGTTTACATGGCTAACTTTGTAAGGACCGAGAGTGCAAATGTTCTCGTCAAACTTTCCAATTAAAAGTGTTTTAGGTTATGAATGTTGATCTTGAATCAAGCTGGGACCTCAAGCTGAATGTCAATTTTGTAATATAATGTTCAGACTTGTTATTTTTCCAGAAAGAACTCTAAAACATACCTAGGGGATAGCATGGCCCATTATAATGTACCAATTAATTTACCCTAAATTTTAATTAGAAATAACCTACATGTGGTGGATGCAGGTTTTGAGGAAAGGGGGGAAGGGGGGGGTGGGGGGAAGGGGGTATTATCCTCAAAAAATTATGATAGAGGGTGAAAAAAAACTGTCTTTGCAATCTAGTTTATACAAAAATAGGGGGGATCATAAATACACGATTGTTCCCTAATATATTTAACCCCTTTTAAAATATCATGCTATGATCTTCATAGGACTGGAAAGATAAAGCACAGAGCTTGAGGGAAGACCTTGATATGGGAATAGCAGAGATAAAAAAATGTCCAACCTGCAGCACCCAGTTCACAAGGGAGAAGGACTTTAAATACCACCAGAAAGGATGTCATGAGTGCATTTGCGAGGAATGTAATGAATCGTTTGACCATGAGCTAAAGCTAAAAAGGCATAAAGACAAGAAACATAAAGACAGCTACAAGTGTGATCATTGTCAAAAGACTTTTGCTGAGAAACGAAATTTTATAAGACACCAAAAGTCACATGTTTAGTTAACCTATCCTGCATTTAGTGATTTTAATTGGAGATGATTTGAAAGGACTATTGGATCAATCTATAATACATAATTGTTTTTGTTTTTAAATTATTATTATTATTATCGATTTTTGAAATTAATTGTGGTCATTGCAGCACATGTACATCATGTTACTGTTCAAACCAAATTTTAAATCATTACAAATGTTGTGTTAGACTTTAACAGGAAAAATGAATTAAAACTTATTTACAATGTCAAAACCTCAATCTTTTTAATAACCTTGTTGTTCAGGGGCAGATCCAAGGAGAGAGGTTTTTAATCTAGGCAATTTGCCTTAAGTGAATTTCCCTCTATGTTAAACATTATGCGAACATTCCATTGTTTATTCACTAAGATTTCTCTGTTTTCCTATTTTTTTCCCTTTGCATGTGCTTTGTCTTGGATTTCATAGTATGGGACCCAGACTTCTTACTACTTTTAGTGTTTGTTTGTACTGCTTTAGCCAAGTCATGGCTGCACTTCCTCTTAGAGGTGGGTTCTTGAAGTTGTACTGGTCGCCCTTTTGATACAACCTGACGGTTTCCACTACCACACTTTCGTTTTCTGTTGGGCTGGACTCGGATCTTTTTTCCATTTCCGGTTTTTTTCACCTCACTGGACCCAAAAGTAAAAAGAGCGCTTGCCAAATTAGAATGCATAGATCTAGCAGCGGTTAAGGATGTTACCCTTTTTGCGAACCTGATTACACCTTTAGCCAAATTAAGGTCTCTTGAGCTTTGGAGCTTTTGAATTATTTGTTCACAAGAGTTTCTCAACAATTGTTCAGCATTTGCAATGGAATCATCCTTATCATCATCATTGCTCTGTATTGGTTCAGCAGTGCAGCAGTTTGGCCCTTGTTGTGCTGTTTCCATACTAGTGGATGCCTCTGTTACAAAACCATTAGAACCATCAGTTTGTGATGTTTGTCCAGCATCACTAGAGCGTAATGGCTTATAACAAGCAACAGGAAGTGTCTTTCCTATTGCTAGGCAGGCCAATTTCTGCCTCTCATGTGGATTACTGACTGGAATGAAGTTTATGCAGTCTGCTAGATTTGCCACCCACAGGACATACTGGGGTTTGCATGGGCTCCCGTCTTTACCAACCCTGCAGCTACATATCCCAAGAGTCATGTCCACTGTATAACTGACAAAGAACCAATGAGACACTTCATAAATATCTCAATACAACTGGAATTTTTGTTTATCAATCTGTAATAGATACATTCTAGACCTTCAACTGGTTGATCCACTAAGATATTAATGGAAATATTCCTAACAGCAGAGTAAGGGCTTGCGCTTACTCTGCTATAAAAAACTCAATAACCCTGCCAAGAAGGGAAATTACTAAAGGTACCCCACCCCCTGGACAATATATTAGTCATGTTTTGGTCTTCCTTATGCTAAATCAACATCCTTGAAATGCAGCATATGGATGAACTGCAGGAATTATCTCATATGTTATGCATGTTATGTCCCCATGTTTTATGTATTTTTGCTCCAAAGGGGAGGAGCCTAGAAACACTGCCCCCTCCCCCCCTGCTTCCCCTATCAAGATAATTTGAATCAGACAATGGGAGAAAGATAGGAAAATAATGGCCACCCACACATGCCCTCTTGTACCACCAGAGCGTTATGCTATTGCGACGGCGAAGAAAAAACACTACTGACCTGTGACTGCTATCTGAAGAGCTTCCAACTTTGAATACATTATTGCCAAAGTTCTCTACAGTTGAGATGTAGGCATCAAGATCTTTTTTATCTGGGACTTTAAACCCTGTGCTTCCGTCTTTCCCTTTCCCAAAGAATCTATGTCTGTACACGCCATCAAAACTCCCATCAGCAATACTAAGGAGCTTATTCTTGTAGTGATCTTCTAGATTAATAGTCAGCTTGTCTAGAAGCCCAACAACATTGTACTCTTTGGTGCGCTGCAGAATTACATCCTTAAGAACCAAAAACTGAGCCTCGGCAAAATTGTTGGTGTGGTTCCCTCTAACAGGCAGTTCAGTTCTAAAGCATAGAGCAAACGATTCTTTGTCATTGTATAGATTTTGCAAATAGCTGACTAGATTTGGGTATTTCTTGCAACGGCCATCATTCAAAAGTTCACTGAAGCAGTTCTCAAAATCTTGTTTTGTCTCGGCATATAAGGACCTCTTGAAAAGGGTGAGAAAATAGGGTCTATCTGCTTGGCTGATACTGTTCTTGCTCTCGTGAAGCCATCTCCAAAGTTGTTGGAGCATGTGGAAGATGCAAAGAAGTAAAACAGATGTTGGCCAAACAGACTTCAGAGCATTTCTTTTCTCTTCACAGTTGTCTGTTAGGATGACCTGGGGGCCTTGTTCCCGACCACGACCATTGAATGCATACTCTGGAAAACAGGACTGAAGCATTTCAAAGCCCTGTTTAAGTGTACGCTCCTGCTCATCACTGGTGATCAAGATGCCAAGTGGAAGTGCTCCAGATACATTGTTTGTGCACATTAAAAACACTTTAAGATTGTGCTCTTCTGTATTAGAAGTAGCATCAACAAAAACCATCTCATCAGACTGCTGCACTTCCTTGTGTACACGGTTCATGAGAGGCGTTACAGTAGGAATTATAAGAGGCGTATCATCACCTTCATACATCTGGTAACAAGTAGTAGCTTCAGGGTTGTCTTTCTTGTATTGTTGAAGCCTTTCGGAAAGTCTTTCAAACATCATAACGCCCTGTCCACCATACCTATCCTTACCAAATTGCGTGTAGAGGTAACTAAAGTCCCTTTTTCTCGGCATAACTGCCCGATTGGCCTTTTTCCTGTGAAATTCCAATTCATCCTGACATGATTCTTTGAGTTCTTTCAAGTACTGTTGCCTTGCGGTTGTTGGTGTATGCCCAATTTCAAACAACTTCAAAACCCTTTCTGTGCACTCAGGAGAAAGGTCACGGAAATTAGAGACCTCCAGAGTTTCAAGTGAATGGTTGTGTTCCCACTCTATGTCCACAGAACAACATTCCTCGCTGTCTATTTTGACTATCATCTGAAAGGGGCAATTGGTGTTCTTTACTCTGGCAGATGGGTTCAAGTACAATTTCTGCTGTGGATCTTTACTTGGACTCCAGTTGCGAGTGTTGTGTTGGCATCTATAGTAGTTTTGCAACACATAGCCGCTTGTTGGTGCCTTCTTTGTCTTTAAAGGGGAACTCCGGGAGAAAAATGACCTTTTTCTTAATGATTTGCCTACATTTGTTGTTTCAATTTTTGACTACTAAGTTAAGTGATTGTTCGTAAGAACGAAGATATTTCACCCTAAAGCGGAGTCAAAAATGCAAATAGCATTCCGCCATCTTGAAAATTGTTTGTCTGCTCAGAAATGGGTCAGCGTTTTCATTTATGACGTCAGAACGTCAAGCGTAATCCGATATTTACTCGGCTTCCAGTTGTGTACAACATTTTGCATCGTCTGCTTTGGGAGTTTTTCTTACCTTTATCACTCTTATAATGTCGAATTCTGGGTCAGAATCCGAGTTGTCCGACGAAGAACAAGGAGCTCAAACGTTTTCTATCCAGCCGTATCAGTTTGAACCGCGGGTAAACACGGATGAGAGGGATATCAACGCTGAAAGTCTTTCTGGTGACGAGTCCATGGAAGGCAGCGAAGAATTGAATCCAAGACTGGAAAATTCCGACTGGTATGTGCTGTGCTGTTTGCTTCATTGTAATTCTTTTACCGATGTGCGAAATAAACTGTTGTTTGGCCCAGATGTCGTGTTCGTAATTGTTTCTTTCTTGTTTTGTTTCGTTTTGAGAGTCTTGAGTACGTAAACATTTCATTGTCGAGCGGCCGACAAATTGTTTAGTGTTCCTCGTTTTCAATATGTCTTGCGAATTAGGTGCTGTGAACGTGAAAGCTGTTAAAAACCTAGCATAAATTCCCTCCTCCCCCCGCAGCTGGACTTTTCAAGTAGAAGGGAAGGATTTTGAAGAATTTCTTGGTGCTTCGCTTTCTTTTATATAAGCTAACACTAGCACAGGTGCAAACAAAAAGAATTGTATTTTTGTAAATGTTGATCTTCACTACACATAGGTTCTTTAAGTCAACAGGCGGCCGTTGGTCCCGCCTAACCTATTTCAGGAGAGAATTTTATTTACATGTTTAACTATCTAAATTTGCCAGTGTCCTCACTTTCTTTACTAGCTTGTATAAACAGTTTTCTTCAACTCAAACAAAATTAATCTGCTTCAACATATTTTATCTACATATCACAAAAAAAGTTAGTAACATCTAAATCTTACGAAACCTTACATTGTTGTCTTAAATCAGCTCTCAATTGCTGGTGTTTATCCAGCTTCTTAACCTGTAGCTCATGTTAAATGTAGAACAATTCAGTTTTTGTTTCCCATCTATGATTTAGGTGCTCATGTGATAATTGCCAGATTATGGGGAGAGCGGAGGCATGCATATGCTGCCAAGAAATAGAGCAGGTTAAAAATAAGCTTTAGTGAAGCAGTTACTAGTGGTGAATGTGAGGAAGAGCCAACATGCATCACGCAGCATCCAGGGTTCCATCCAGTGTGTATAAATAGATGGGTCCTGCAGACTGCATGGTATCAATATAAACAACAATACAAAGAATCTTTTGATGGTCCTGAAGACAAACTCTACAGGCACATAGCATACAGACAATTGGCCCGATGGTGCTGGGGAATCCTAGGCAAGGAAATCAGGGTTGTGCTTCCTTCATGTGCTGTAATGTGTATTAGGAACTTCTATCCTCCACCTGGGCCTGAGGAGGAGTTTGTCTTTACAGGGTTTAAATATGCAGACGAGTGACATGACTTTTAAGTTTTAAAAAACTGACATCAGGCTGCCAGCGTAAATGAGAAACTGTAAGCCACTTATGATGCATAATATACAGCTATAAAGAGGATATTACAAATAATTTGCTTACATTTTGTAAGCGGAATTTTTAAGCCTTTAGGTTTTTGTATTCTCATTTGACACTATGATATGTTGAAAAGTCCTATACACATGCATCCATGTACATCCATGTCTACACAGGTTATGAAAATGCAAATCTCCTTGTGAAAATCAAAAACATGGTGTGAATTAGGAAAACAAACCGTGCTAGCTAAAAAGGGTCTATTCCTCATTATTTGCAGCCAAAAAACCTCACAAGTGGTGAACTGTTCTTGTCATGTGGGTTTCAGTTTTTTACACGTAATTGGAATAAAAAGACATGGTGATTTGAGTTTCTTATTGTCAAGTTTGGAAAAAATTTCAGTGTTACTCTGATTGACTGTTACAAATAGGAAACCTCCAGGAAATGTGTCAAAGGCTCACTATTGTTAAGTCATCTATTAAATCTTGAACGATGTTGGCGTATTGCATCTGATTTACTAGGTGCTGGTTCTGAGGCAATGTTACTTGGTAGGTGTGGATGAAGTGGCTGTGCAGCTGCATTCCCCTGCTCAACACGACTGAGCACCTCTGAAAGTAGGTCTGACAAGAACTGATATGACTTCTTCTCATTAATTGGTTTGACAACCCATCTTTTATTTGCTTTTGGGAAGCAAAGCTTGTATCGTGCCTCACCTGCCCGTTCACCTGACTTTATCACAGCTTGACTACGGCCAGTGTTAGCATTGTTGTCTAGAGCGGCTAGCTGGGTCCTAGCTACCATGCCCTGGTAAGAATAATGCTCGCGTTTGAGGCATACTTCAGCATCATTGAATGGTACACCTCAATTTTACCAGTGTGACAGAAGTCAGTTAGTTTAGCCAGATCTTTAAGAAGCTTTTTATTCAGTACCACTTCCTCTAAAGCTATGTGAGCTTGTGAGCCTGGCTTAAGCCAACAAATTTGCTTAGCTTCAGAGGAAGAGATACGTCGGTGGCAACACTGATGGAAGAGTGTGTTGCCTGACCACTTGTGCTTGTTTGCTACATGATCTAAAAACAGACTCCCACTTTTCACGCAGAAGCTGCACATTCCCATCGCAGGTTGCCGCGCACCACCAAAGGTGATTGGAAATGGATTGTATCCATGGGGCCAGTTCCTCACAACCCTTTTGTTTGGCTTTGTTTGTAGTTTTTTTTGACCACCCACTTGAGAGATGCCAAACATCATACTGGTGGTTGATGTGTGGAAAGTCCTTCTTCATGCTGCTGCTGATGGAAACATGGCGGTCTGTAGCAATCCTGTTAATCATGATCCCCTTTTCCTCCACGTCTTGAAGGCAGCGAGAAAAGCCCTCTTTCTCCATGGCATTTGATGAGCTGACTTCTGAGACCTGGACAACATTGAATGCAACCACATCTCCAGAGTCCTCATCCATTAAAGTGTAGGTGCCATATTTGGCACTGTGGCCAGGGCTGTCACACCTGCCATCACCATCGAGATTTACAACTTCCTTGGAAGTCAGTCTGTCTACCTGCCGTTGACTCTCTGCTTCCCATGCCTCATTCACCACAGGGAACAGGTATTTACGCTGGGTGTCATAAAAGACACTTTCACTGAAAAATTGCAGGTTAAAGCATGATGCCAGACGACTTATGGCAGCAAAGTTATTACCTGTAAAAAGAATGGATGCTGCCAGTAATAAATTTCCTAGAGGTTTCCTTTTTACCACAGGTTGTGACTCCCATGTCATTTTACACCCACTCTGGCACACAAGCTCTACAGATAACATGCTTCCAACAGTTTTCCTCTTCTGTTCAATGACAACATCACCGCATTCCTGGCATCTTTTAAATAAATTATTTAGATTTGAATTAAAGACTACAAATTTTTTTTCATTGCCGGGATTTTCAGGGAACTCATCTTCTGATTCTTCATCATCATCATCATCATCATCTTCATCAGCATAGCCATAGTGTTTTCCTTTAGGGGGAAATTTCCAGTGAGGATCTAGGTCCTCATCATCAACTTCATCATCTGTGTCACTGACATCACCATCAACATTGTCATCATCATTTTCCAGCCTTGGGTCTTCTTTGTGCAATTGAGTGAAAGGGGTGGTGCTAAAAAAGTTACCATCATAGGTAGGAAACACTGAACTGGGACATGCTGGCAAAGAATAAGTATGATCCTTCAAAACCTTCCATTGTACAGCATCTACATATGGTGGGACATACATGTAGGGCTCGTTTTGTATAGGGATGGAGGTAACATTAGCTTTGCCCTTTTTTTGTTTGGAATCCTCAGTTTGAACTGCTACACTTTTTAAGGTAAGAGGCTGACAGCAACACTGAATGCCAATGTCATGCACTCTTGGTTCTGAGGAGCCTGTTTCTTCATTATTATCAACCTGGTCTTGATCTGAAGAGTCTTCCAAGACATCCTCTGAAGAAGGGCTTGACTCATCATCACAGTCTGGGAAGTCAGCAGCTAAAAGTTCTTCCACAGCCTGATGGGATAAAGTTCAATATACGATGGCCCAGGAGGGTCACAGTCCAGTATTGGTTTTTGACAGTCCAGTTGTGGTTTTACACAGTCCAGTTATGGTTTTACACAGTCTAGTTTTAGTTTTTACACAGTCCAGTTTTAATTTTTACACAGTCCAGTTTTATTTTTTACACAGTCTAGTTTTATTTTTTTACACAGTCCAGTTTTATTTTTTACACAGTCCAGTTTTATTTTTTACACAGTCCAGTTTTATTTTTTTACACAGTCCAGTTTTATTTTTACACAGTCCAGTTTTATTTTTTACACAGTCCAGTTTTATTTTTTACACAGTCCAGTTTTATTTTTTTACACAGTCCAGTTTTATTTTTTTACACAGTCCAGTTTTATTTTTTACACAGTCCAGTTTAATTTTTTACACAGTCCAGTTTTATTTTTACACAGTCCAGTTTTATTTTTTTACACAGTCCAGTTTTATTTTTACACAGTCCAGTTTTATTTTTTGTGTGGTTACCAGACCTCTCTCGCGCTACTGCAACACTTGTTATCTAACGGCAGCCATTTTGTATTTCCTTGCGACGATGGATTCAATCATCAGGCGGGCTGTTCGAGAGGAACTGAGACGTTCAAGTTCTAGTGCTCCAGAAACTGCGTCTTCTACTAATCAAGATGATCAGGGAAGAAGTGAAAACAAATCAGATGCGGCTGGATCATCACGAAGTCCGTTTTCATCACGAACAGTGGGCCGATGTTTCTTAAACGAAGACCCAAAAACGAAGACCCAAGACCCCTTGGACTAAAACGAAGAGCCCTGTGGATTAAATGAGATGTGTTTACGGTGATGATGACATCAGTTTTGTTTAAATAAAAATTTTTCACACTATGTACATTCGAGAAAGCTTTCGTAGTCTTGTGGTAACGTCCTTGTGTGCATCGGAAGGTCTCTCGGGATCGAATCTTGCCAAACGGAAGTATGTTTTTCCTTTCCTTTTTTTTTTCTTTCATTTTTATTTTGTTATCATTATAACAACTGCTTGAGCCGTAAAAGATGAGTCATTTTTTACAATAGAGGTCAGAATAAAGTAACAGGGATATAAATATAACCCGGTATGTATACGAATGAACCTTGCTTGCATGAAACTCGAAATGTACACCTTTACTCGAGTGATGTTCTCGATATCGACGGCTTTTTGTTCTATTGATGAGGTAAAAAGTAATAAAAAGAGCGCGAGGTTCCCCTCTCCTTGAATTCATCATTGCTAAATGTCTCGTTATTCCCTCCTTACGCCATGGTCATTTATTTTGTTTTGCAAATGTATTGATCGATACAATTGTTCGACATTTTGGAACGCTAGAGCACGCGTTATATTTTCTTAGCCGTCGATCGAAGAAAAGGTGGGTGATAGACTTCATTATTACAATTAAATAGCGCAGAGGAAATTCCACAACACTCCTAAATCGCCGTAAGAGTTTAATCCACAGGGGTCTTCGTTTTAGTCCAGAGGGTCTTCGTTTTAGTCCACGGGGTGTTAGGTCTTAGCCCGCGGGGGGGGGGTACTGGATATATCCTTGGGTAAGGAGGTGCGGCCCGGCCCCGCCCCTTATACCCTGATCCTGTTTAAGACAAAAATCGCTGATTTTCCTACAAGTGTAAGACAGAATTTCGATTTTCATACCCTGTTTAAGACATTCGTAAAACATATATATGCGCAGGCTGTTTATCTTCCAAGAAAAGATACCCTGTTTAAGACAAAAATTGATAAAATCGATACCCTGTTTGAGACAAAAATCCCGAAAAACATACCCTGGCTGGCTGCACGTCCCCGTTAAGCCCTTACAAGGGAGTACCCCCCCCCCGGGGGTCTTGGGTCTTTGTTTTAGAAACACCCCAAACGGTCCACTGTTCGTGATGAAAACGGACTTCGTGATCCAGCCGCATCTGATTCGTTTTCACTTCTTCCCTGATCATCTTGATTAGTAGAAGACGCAGTTTCTGGACCACTAGAACTTGAACAGCTTGAACGTCTCAGTTCCTCTCGAACAGCATGCCTGATGATTGAATCCATCGTCGCACGGAAATACAAAATGGCTGCCGTTA